AGCCTTCAAGAGAAATAAGAACAAAGCACTCTCCAAAAGTACTTACCGGATGAACCTCCCCGATGATGTATGTTTTGGACAATTCCCTAGCATCCGTAGAGTGCCCAACATCCTCAAAGTTTTCAGTAGCGTCACCTCCAGCGTGTTCCCTTAAGACTTCTTCCCCACCAGGATGCTGTTCAAAGGATAGAAGATAAATATTTTTTCAAGCAAATGAGTTAAAAGAAAATGGCCAGTTTATTTAACCAAACAGGCTACTCCATAAGTCACAGATGACAATGGGTGACTGTATCTTGCTCATAATGGGGATTATTAATAAAACACCACACTCCTTTATACTCGATTTCCTTTGTGGAAGTGCAACAGCACCTTCCCCTGATGGCAGAGGGTGCTTCCCGTGGCATGCACGCGGCTTAACGAAAGCACTAGGCGGGTATCTTCCATCCTCTGGTAATGCCCACTTTGCTCTTCCACACAGCTCTCAAAGTTGCTCTCTTAATCTGTTCCCAATCTGTTTTTTCTTGAATCTTACACCTGACACTGACTATCTCTGACTTCTCCAGTCTACGTGTGACCCAAGAGTGGCCACTCCGTCAGATGACAATTCACAGGAGGCAAGGTCACCTGGCACTTCCTTCTGGAAAGCACTGCGTGCCTGCACTGGTCAGGGAGCACCGTCTGTCCCACAGACAAGTCAGCCCCTGCCTTTGTAGAACGTGCTTCCTGGCAGGGAAAACAGCAGCATGTGCGACTTGCTCAAGATGCCGCAGTCAGGATGCAGCACTGACAGAGAACCATGGAGCTCAACTCCACAGGGGAAGAGGGGAGAGCCTCTTGTGTAAGAAAGCATTTCAGTGCTTTTAGCTGCTTTAATTTGTAAAACAAAGGATGTCTGGATGCAGGGAGGAGGATTTTTTTCCTCTAAGATGATTGACAAGTACGGCCCATCACTGGACATGGGAGGATACAGAGATTCTCAGGCAAGGGAAGTTCTCAGACAAGGAAAAAAACCCAGCTTGGTTAAAGCATCCTAAATACATACTTCTGCAGGGGAAAGAAAAACTTCTTAAATTGAGCTTGGGTATTATCTTAGACCAAATTCATCCTGACCATGAGCAAATCACCTTTAAGTGTCCAACCACTGAATAAAACCAGTCTTCCTTGCACAGCTGATTCTAGTCAGTTCTTCATTTCTCCCAATAACGGAAGATGTAAAGGCACATAATGTTGTACAAAGGTCAGTAATTATTCTGTTTGGAAACCTGTTTCTCCTCCTACTTTGTTTAAACATATCTAGTGTTAAAGAAATCTACTATATGTACG